TTAGAGTGATTAAATTAAGGTGAATTATCTACACTCTCGTAGAATTATTTCATCTGAGAAGTGAAGCGTGTAGAAACTATTGATTTGAATTGAAGAGAGTTCAACGAAAATATTGCAAAAGAATTTTTGAAGGACTCGATATTTGATATTTTTCGCAGCGATTTTCTCTTTGCAAATGTTCTTCAATTATTCAGCTCGTCCCGTGTTTTTAGACCAATTGTTAGAATACATATGAAATTAATTGCACGCCAGTGCCGAATAATCGAGAAATTCTGTTATTTGGTCAGAAAGTGTTCTACGGGAAAAATTGAAATTCACGCGATTCTGCCTTCCCTGCTGGAAAATTCGACGTTCGACGTTTCAACAATGTTTTTTTACAAGTGCTTTTCAATCATTCAGCTCGTGCCACGCTTTTGGCTAAGAATACGCAATTGTCCGCTTCGAGTTAATATCGGGGATGTTCGCGCGAAATACCATGAATTCTTCAGCGTCACAGAACGACGTCTATGCATCACCGATGCATCGATGCATCTTCTATCCGTCGTCGTCCAAGGAAATTTGAATTTTGGGTCGTATCGGCGATATGCATAACAAATTTCACGAGGCAAAAACTTCCATGGAAGAACTCTTGTTCTCTTAAGAGCACTCTCGCCGAATGTTTTTTTTCCCTACCCCGTCCCGGATAATTTGCATATTTCATAAATATCGTCATAAACATCGTCTTCTATATATTTTGTAAATCGTTGAATAATTTCCCGTGTAGTAATTACGATTGCATGCCTTCGTAATATCCTTGATAATTAATTAAGTAACTTTAGAATGAAAGTTCCATGAAAGTTTATAATAACTTTGTAAAGTTCAGTTGTTGCCATAATTACGTTAACGTAGAGTGAATTATTAGACTGCAGACTTTGATGCACTTACAAGAAACTGCAAGACGTATATAATATGCAATTTATTGAAAAGAATTTGTTACAACAATATTGAGAAATTGTATTTAAATTGTACACATTGTAATGTGCTTATTAATACAAAAACGAAATGCTTGTAGTGTTTTCTATGAACAAGAACTCTTTAGTTGCACAGTAACTGTTAATCCCTTATTAAAGATTTGATTTTAATGTTGTAATAAAATCTGATAACACATTAACAGACAAATATAAATAGTGATAAAAAATAATACGTGGATACGTTACTATAATAATACTTAATAAAACGTTTCTATTTTGATTGCCATTTCTTTGGTTGCTTCCATGAAAATTTAAAAGTACATGGAAATTCGCAGAAATTATTGTAATAGAAAAACCTGCAACCAACGTGAGAATATTATTTTCGTTGGACAAATATATTTCGTTAGATTATTTCATAGCAGAGAAGTTAACATTGTCTTCCTCGAGCCCTCTAGTGCTCTAGAGAAGAAAACTTGACCGGGTTACTTCACTCACTCCTCGGAATGTACGAAAAACACAGACTCTGTTTCACAGAGCTATTGAAGGCTAACGTACAACGCGAAGAAACAACAAAAATGGCCTTTCTGATTGAATAATTAGAATATAATGTACATAAAGTGTTTACATAGAACACAAATATAAAATATGTTACGTACAATATAATATTTTCAGATCTGATATTAATTATAAATATTGTAATAAATATCAAATTGAACATTTTTATAAATGATTTTATATTTATAATTTTCCAGAATTTCGTTCTAAAAGAGAAATTTCCTCTGATTTATGAAGTAAAAGTTAACATTCGCAATAAATGATCTCGTTGTTAGTTACAGTACAAAGGAGAAACACTAAAACGATAGGCAATATACTATTTCGCCACATTCTGACTTCAAAAGGGAATTAAATTCGAAAAATATTGATATATCGGTATATGATAATTCAAGTTATATGGCATGGTGGAAGATTAAACAATTTCATGAAGTAAAATAAATTTTTAAAGCCTTTTTCTCGCGTGTACTACATTTTGACAGATTAAATTGACACAACCGATCGAGATTAATATATCGTTGTCGAGGAACGAGAAATTTTCTCGCAAAAATGTGTTCAACTTCCGGTTGTTAGAAGTGTATTCGTTATGCGTATGACCCACATTCGCTAGCCGGAAACAAAAGCAAAAATACTACGACAAGACGTCGCAGAAGGAGGATCAGGCTTTACGTTTCGCTGCGAAATGTTTCAGCGTGAACGAATTTCTATGATTCCCACGAGCGCAACATATCCTCACCCAAAAAAAAAAAAAAAAA